GGGGGGGGGGGGGGGGGGGGGAAGAGGTCGCAGACGTGGTGATTACATGACATCGTGGGGAGAACCCTTTCTCTGTGGATAAAGAGCAAATGCAGTAAAGAAAATGAGAAGCAGAGATGAAGGATCACTCATTGGAGGGTGTAACAAAGACCAAGGTGAACATGAACGTGTGGAAGAGGTTCTACAGCAGACAGGGCTGGGATAAGATGAAGAGCATCAGACAGAGTGCTCCTGGCAGAGGTGTTTCCAAGGAGACAGGAGAAAAATGGGATGTGAAACAATGGTACAAAGAAAGCACTGGGCTTTGGGGGTTCGAAACCCCCCCTCTGTGGATGACTACTCACCCCGGATAACTTACTTTACCTCTCTACTACTCAGAACATCCATCTGTCAGGTGAGGATGGCACCAGTAGCTACCCCACACTGTTTTGACTTGTTTTTAAGTTTAAGTTTGTTTTTAAATACGTGTGCACATGCCTATGTACATGTGTCACTCTGGCAGTGTAGAGGACAGAGGACAGCTCTGGGGAGGTGGTTTCCTCCATCCTTTTACCTACTAGACCATCCTGACAGCCCCTTGTGCTGGCTAATTTTAGGTCAATTTGACACAGGCTAGAGTCATCTGAGAGGAGGGAACCCCAGTTGAGAAAAATGCCTCCATAAGACTGGGCCATAGACAATCCTGTAGGGTATTTTCTTAATTAGTGATTCTTAAGATGGCTGTACCCAACCCCTTCTTTGAACACCATGCTTAGAAAGCATTTGCTAAAGGAATAAATGAGTCGGTAATTGTCCTCTTTTGGCTATGAAAGTATTCTACTCTATAGCTTTTCCTCTAGCTCATTATGGGTAGTGCCACCTCTGGGCTGGTGATCTGGGGTTCTATAAGAAAGCAGGCTGCACACACCATGGGGAGCAAGCCAGTAAGCAGCACCCTTCCATGACCTCTGCATCAGCTGCTACCTCCAGGTTCCAGCTTGGAGTTGCCGCCTGACTTCCCTCAGTGATGAAGTGTGATCTGAGAGTTGAAAGATGAAATCATCCCTTTCCTCCAGAAGTTGCTTTTGGTCATGGTGTTTCATCATAACAACAGTAACCCAAACTAAGAAACTGGTACCAGGATAGTGGGATATTGCTGTGACAGACCTGACCATGTTGCTTTGGGGAGAACTGTAGAAGGACTTGGGAACTTCGGCCTAGAAAAGCCACTGAGGGTTGAGAGCTCAGAGGGCTGTTCTGTAGGAGCTTGGAAGATAAGACTGGTGAGAGCAGTGCAGATGATGGAGGTCTGGCTTGTGAAGTTTCAGAGGGAAGCAGACTAACTACATAGCCATTTGTGTGACAAATATGTGGTATCTAGTCAGCTGGAGCTGAAAAAGTCAGCTACTATTAATAAGAGACCAGAATCACTAAAGTTAAACCTTGTTTTGTTGGGACAATGGATGCTGGTCAGCTGGAGCTGAAGAATCAGCTGTGATTAAGAAGAGACCAGCATCACTGAGGTACAATCTTCTCTTAAGTGTTTCCTCAGAGTCAGAATGTGCAAACTGTGTTCAGAGGTGGCCAAGGTTGTACCTTGTGCTGGCAGCCAAACCTGGTCATGTGTCTCCCAAGTAGCACAGGTGTTAAAGCCATGAAGGAATCATGGAGAGCAACTGAAGCTTGGCACTGCTGAGAAGCCATTGATGAAGGCGCACCCAGAATAGCAGTGGAGTCAAACCCCAGGACTGAAGGGACCATGGAAGGGTTATTGAAAAGCTGGGGTTTGGCACCATGAAGAGAGCTCAGCAGAGGCTACTGGTCAAAGTACAGTAGTAGACCCCGACATTTTGGAGATGCCAGTACCATGGAGTGACCACTAAGAACAGCAACAGCAGTGGAGTGGAGCCAGCCAGAGCCTGGAAGACTAACTGTGTGTGCTGCAGAGGGCGGAGCTGGAGAAGTGGACCAAGTCCCTTGGAGGAGCCCAGAAGACCATGAGTGAATCCCAGACACTGGACATTGAATTAATTACATTGTAGGAATTTGGTTTGGTTTTGTTCAGATTGTGACTGTGCCTTCATTCTTCCCTCTTGAAAAAGAAAGTATTTAACTTAATTTTGATTTCTTTTCTTTTTCTTTCTTTCTTTTTTGGTTTTTTGAGACAGGGTTTCTCTGTGTAGCTTTGGCGCCTTTACTGGAACTCACTCTGTAGCCCAGGCTGGCCTTGAACTCACAGAGACCCGCCTGCCTCTGCCTCCAAAGTGCTGGGATTAAAGGCATGCACCACTACTGGCCAGCTTTAATTTTGATTTCTACAGGAGCCCACAGTTGAGAGACTTTGAACTTTTAAAGGGATTTTGGATTTTTAAAGAGACTGAACTTTTAATCTGTTTGAATTGTAAAGACTGTGGGACTTTGAAGTTATTTATGTTTTATATTGTGATATTAATATTAACGTGCCATCATGGGGATAAATTAGAAAGGAAAAGGGCTGGAGAGATGGCTCAGAGGTTGAGAGCACTGACTGCTCTTCCAGAGGTCCTGAGTTCAATTCCCAGCAACCACATGGTGGCTCACAACCATCTGTAATGAGATTGTAATGAGATCTGATGCCCTCTTCGGGCCTGCAGTCATATATGCTGTATACATAATAAAAAATAAAATCTAAAAAAAAAAAAAAAAAAAAAAAAAAAAAAAAAAAAAAAAAAAAATAGAAAGGAGAAGTTCTAACTGAAAAGTGTGTTTATGTGTCAAGTTGACAAGGGATCAGTTTTTGTGCTGGCTAGTTTTATGTCAACTTGACACAAGCTAGTTACTGGAGCAGAGGGGGCCTCAACAGAGAAAATGCCTCCCTAAGATCAAGTTGTACGCAAGCCTGTCGGGCATTTTCTTAATTAGTTCTTGATGAGGGAGGGCCCAGCCTATTTCGGGTGGTACCATGCCTGGGCTGATAGCCTGGGTTCTATAAGAAAGGCTGAGCAAGCCGGGTGGTGGTGGTGCACGCCTTTAACCCAAGCACTCGGGAGGCAGAGGCAGGCGGATCTCTGTGAGTTCGAGGCCAGCCTGGGCTACAGAGTAAGTTCCAGGAAAGGCGTAAAGCTACACAGAGAAACCCTGTCTCAAAAAACAAACAAACAAACAAAAAGATTGAGCAAGCCATTGGGAGCAAGCCAGTAAGCAGCGCTCCTTCGTGACCTCCACATCAGTTCCTGCCCTTTTGAGTTCCTGCCCTGACTTCCCTCACTGATAGATGGTTACCTGGAAGTATAAACCAAATAAACCCTTTCCTCCCCAAGTTACTTTGGTCACGGTGTTTCCTCACAGCAATAGTAACCCTAACTAAGACACCCCTCATTCAGCTTCTGAGAGGGTTAATTCAGTTATTACCTGCAGCGCCCTCCTAACAGTGCCTGGGATACAGGGAGTGCCCAATGAAGGCTGGAGGCAATTAGACTCAGAGACTGTGACTCGGTTTTATCATGGGGAAGCAGGTGACAGTACAAGGCAGAGAGCTGTGATTCTCAACCACTCCACAGAAAACAGGTAGCGTTGGACAGTTCACAGAACGACCCTCCTGCCAGGCACAGGGGGTGTGCCGGGAATTCTGCTGCTTGGAAGGCTTAGGCAAGAGGAATGGCTTGAGATTGAGGAGAGCTTGGGCTACAGAGTGAGACCATGTATCAGACAGACAGACAGACAGACAGACAGAAAGCCTGTTCCCTAAGAACAAGTCTACAAGAGTGCCTCTTCCAGATGCACTTACTTATTTAGATCGATGTCTTTCCCCAGTTCATGGGCCTCAATCAGCTGCTTGATAATGTCTCCTATAGTCAGCATCATCAGCTCAGCAGGGCTGAGATCTCCTGCAAAGATTTTTCAACAACAGCAAAAATCTCATCAACATTTTTTTACATTTATTCATTTGTAGGTGTGCACATATGCAATTTTAAGTGTGCAGGTCAGGAGTTGGTTCTTTCCTTCCACTACAGGGTTCCTGGCTTGTTGTCGGGCTTGGTGGAAAGTGCCCTTACCACAGAGCCATCTTGCCAGCCCTCGGTACAGATTTAACAATCTCACTTAGTAATTTTCCTTCCAAAATCATCTGAAGAACAGCTCTGGGGGCATCTAGCTTCTAAAACAATTTCAAACATGCCAAACACATAACTCAAGAGCAGGAGACACTAAGTCTCTATTGTTCACAATCCAAACATATCTTTCATATTTTCAATTAATGCCCCCTTCAGAAAACAAACAAACAACCCCACCTTCATGTATGTGAAGCTCCCTAAAGAAGCACAAGACAGAGGATATTGCAGACAGACACAGAAAACAAAAAGGAAGACTACTGTAGAAACAATCATGAACAAAAAGAACCTACCAATCCAGGGAAGGGCCAAAGGAACTAAATGCCCAGCCCTTCACTACAGAGTAGCAATGATGAACACTGGCAAGTGCACAGAGAACATTCAGATGCACTAATTCAATCACAGTGAGGGAGGCGGAGCAGGAATTTGCCTGTCCCATAATGCACTAACTCAATCTTGGAACAGACTGAACAGACACCTGCCTGTTTCATAAAGATGTGTCCAAGGGCTTTGAGCTTTCTTCTCATTATATAGCTCAGGCTGACTTGAATTTGCTATTTGTCCAAGCGGGCCTTGAACTTACGATTTTTCTGCCTCAGCTGACCCAGTGCTGAGCTCATACAGCATGTACCAATTTGCCTGGCCCATCTAAGGCTCTAGCTGCATTTCTAAGGTACCATCTGTAGACCTGCATGATCCTGTCTTGGCAGCCCCCCTTTCTCCACAGAAACAGGAGACGCTGACATGTTTGTCATATCATCTTACAGTCAACCACAAATGGCTCATCCAAGCATGGGCACCGATCCAAGCCAGGACAATCTCAGCTCTTTCTTTTAAGGGTCAGGAGAGCCCATCTTTTAACAGCTGGCGACAGTGGTATGGTATCGTAGCTTGGGTGATAGCAATAAATATGTCTCCTGCCAGCTGGTGTGAAAAAATAAAGAAGTCATGAAAGAAGTGTGGATAAGAAAGCCATGGAAGTTACTGAGACCTTTCATTTAGTCCCATTTGAAACTCACGATAACATTGTAAAGCTGGTATCGTTATCCTGTTTGATAGCTGTTAAAAAAAATGGATCAAGCAAGTTAAGACATCATTGTAAATAGCAAGGTTAAATCTCAGGTCACACTTTTTTCACATACTGTGCACTGTGCACCACACTGACTTAATACAGCAAAGCTAACACAGACAAAACAGTGAGAGCAAAGGACATGTACAGTCAGAGTAAACACTTTGACGGCACGTCTCAGTTCTACAAAGGTGCCTCAGAGGCCGTGGAACAGAGGTGGACTTGGGGTGTGGGGTGAGCAGAAAATGAGGCAGCATCCTGTCAGCTTGCATATTCATGTTCTCATACCCCCATCTGTGTGCATGTGTGTGTGTCAGCCGTGATGTAGGTGCTGGGGTTTGAACCTGGGTCCTCTGGAAGAGCAGTCAGTGCCCTTAACCGCTGAGCCACCTTTCCAGCCCATGTGTGTGTGTTAAAACGATACTAAGTCTGCTTTCATCTTTCTGTGTATAAGACTTCTGCAGAAGACTTCACTGAGGTGGCAGGAGGCTGGGTTGGTAAAAACAAAGATGTGAAAAACTACCGGGGAACATGCAGGATGGACCAATGCCAGCCCTAAGAACAACCTGTTTTGGTGAAAGGAGATCTAACTTGAACACAGGCTGTCTAAACAGGGTTCAATAAGCAGACAGAACACTGGCCACTAGGCAAAGGCATTAAAGGCAACAGTAGACTATACATTCTACTGTATTATACATTCTCAGAATTATACATTCTCAACTCTGTAACTTAAAAAATGAAAGTTTTTAAAGAAAGTGAGGTTATCAATATAAATAAGTCAGAAAGGAAAATAAAGATACATCAATTTAGATGCTAAACAAAAGGCTTTTGAACAGCACATTAAAAATCCGTATGTGAAGACCTGAGTTCGAATCCCAGCACCCATGTTAAAAACTAGGCATACCTACATTAATGCCTATAAACCTAGAATGTGTGAAAGAGGGGGCCACAGAGGACGTGATTCGGGATTACGGCAGGAGGATTGCTGGGGCTTGCCGGGTGCCTAACTCCAAGTTTAGTGACAGATCTTGTCTCAAGGGGGTAAGGTGTAGTGTGACAAAACTCCTCCTCTGGCCTATTCACCCACCCACACGGATGCAAATACCACACACCCGTACACATCCAACAACAAACGTCTACAAGACTCAATGAAAACCTTTACCGCAACAGGCACCAGTGCCTACAGACAAATCTCAGAAGACAGATGTCAGAGTCAACAAAAACAAATGTCCACAAAAAGCAAAAAATGGTTGAGGGAACGAGGGTAAATGCACAAATTTAAGAGGTGATGTCAAAATAAGAACTAAGGTGCTGGTGACAGAGACAAAAGAGTGACCTTGCAGCGATGTAAGATTAAATTAATCTAGTGCATGTTGTGTTTGATGTGACAAGGACACAGGACATGTTGTGTGGGAGGGAAATTCCAGTTAATGCCAAGGAGCAGTGACCAACAACACACTCAGTGTTCATGTGATGCTTCTCCAGGTTACAGGTGCACCATGACCAGTCAGCCCCACGTACTAAGTATAAATTTAGATGACACAACTTCAAAATGATTGGTAAAGGCTCAATACCCAGCTATTATTCTGACAACCAACAAGCATTCTCTGACCAACTGCTCTCAAGGGCAGTACAGAGATAAGAGTGGAATGTTTTAAAAATACTTAAAAAAAAAAAAATGCCTTTAATCTCAGCACTCGGGAGGCAAAGGTAGATGGATCTCTGTGAGTTTGAGGCCAGCCTGGTCTACAGAGTTCCAGGAATGGCGCAAAACTACACAGAGAAACCCTGTCTCAAAACAAAAACAAAAACAAAAACAAACAAACAAAAAAAAAAAAACCACAGGACTTCATTCTACTGGGACGGAGGTGGTGCATGCCTTTAATCCCAGCACTCGGGAGGCAGAGGCAGGCGGATCTCTGTGAGTTCCAGGCCAGCCAGGGCTACAGAGTGAGTTCCAGGAAAGGCACAAAGCTACACAAAGAGAAACCCTGTCTCGAAAAACAAAAAACAAACAAAAAATGACTTCATTCTTCCGGGCAGTGGTGGTGCACGCCCACTGCGCGCCTTTAATCCCAGCACTTGGGAGGCAGAGCCAGGCCAATCTCTGTGAATTCGAGTCCAGCCTGGTCTACAGAGTGAGTTCCAGGACAGGCACCAAAGCTACACAGAGAAACCCTGTCTCAAAAACAAACAACAACAAAATCCCCCCCAAAATACAAAAAAACAAAATGACTTCATTCTGTTGAAAAACCTGCAAAGCATTGCTCCAGGCTACCCCAGAGGTAAAATAAATGGGAGTAAGTTCACGTAAAGCTGTTGCACAAACCGCACGGATAATCCCCACTTTTAGGGACGTACCAACGCCTTTCCTACTTGAAGATTTAAAAACAATCCAAACAAACACGTTCAATCAAGTCGCCACGAATGAAACGGCAAAGCGCTAAACACCACCTCCCACCTTAACTCCGGTAAAGACCTAGTCTTCGAATAACGGTTCCCTTCACCCATCCACACAAAGGACAACACGTAAGTCATTTTGAAAGAGGAATCAGGAGAGGAGACTGGTTCACAAAGCACGCAGATAAAAGGAGGCCAGCCCACCCCAAGTCGAAGCGTTCCGGACAAGGGAGCCGAATCCCGTGGGAATGGGAGACTCGGCCTGCTCTCGCGGGACATCCACCGCCTCCCTTGCCCCTCGTCCCGCTTTTTTTTTTGCACCTTTCCTCTTCTGTCTCATCTCGGCGCGGGGTAGGAGGCTACCGCCACACTACTGTAGTACACACCACGGCTGAAGTTGCCAGCCGCAAAGCAACCCGGGACTGTCGTGAAAGCGCATGGAGCGTACGGCACGGCTCTTCCCAGAAGGCCCTGCGCGCGCGCGGGCCGAGCCCCGCCCAGTCTCGGCGGCGGCGGCGGCTCCGGCGCTCTCGGACTGGAGGGGCCGTGCGTCCCGATCCTCGTGGGTGGGTGGATGGGTGGGTGCGGAGGAATTCTTGGGGATCGGCAAACCGGACCTGGCTAGTACTGACGGGACAGTTTATTTAAAGAAGTCCCCCCCCTCCCCACTCCGAGGAGGCGGGACGGGAGTGCAATGTAGCCAGAGTTCTTAAAGCAAAAGCCTGGGCTCTGAACGTTTCCACCAGCGAGGCTGGGCCACGTGTCACGAGCACAGCCGACCGTGTTGGGAAGAGGAACAGATAAAGGAGACCAGTGGTTCCCCCACCCCCCA